AATTTCAGTATTAATTCAAGAAATAGTATTATTTTTTTAGAAAATTCTTGTACCAACATTGTCTTTGTCGGTAAATAACAATAAATTTTTTTTATTATTCCTTTACCAACTTTATGTATGTTGATAAAGTACTAGTGGTACTACAACATTTTTTTTTTTTTTTTTGCAGTTGATGAACAATGCCGATAACATTTTTGTCGATAAATTAACCAGAAATAATATTAAATATATATGTTACAAATGTTTGTCTTGTCGGTAAATTTACCAACGTGAGTAGTCCTCCGATTGTACTTTTCTACTCTAATGGCTTGAGACATGCTCTTTGTTGGTAATTTTAAACATTTTATCAATGTGAATTTAAGTCACATTAGTAAATAAATTATCGAGAAAACTTACACCGATAAGCAGTTTACCGACGTGTTTTAAGTTAGAAAGGGTTTTTGCCGACACAATTCTCTTAATTTCCTATGTAGATTTTTGTCGATGATTTCATGCATTCTAGTAGTGTCATAGAAATTTGAATATATGATGTTAACTTTAAATCAAAGTTTTTAAATTAATAAATACTATTTCAGTCAAGTTCTTATTGGTATCTCAATTTTTGATATACTAACAATATAATGATTTCCAAAATAATAATAATAATAATGATTAATGATTATTTTTGGTGGATAATTAAGATGTAATTTTACTAATGAAAAGGAAAAAAAAAAAAAAACAATAAGGTTTTAAGTGCGGACCATTTGATTAATTCCTTCATCTTGTTGTAAAATCCTTCAATTTCCATTTCTTTCCATATTCTATCCCAACATAAGGTTCCTTTCAATTTTTTGGCAAGTTATCAAGAGTGATTTTTATATGAATCTTCTATTTCTAGCAAAAATGACTTAACATTAATCGAATCAGAGGAAATGAAGTTAATCTAGTGGCATAAGTTGTCTCATAATACCATTTGATCTATACATTAAAAGAAAATCTTACCACATTTTATCCCAACATAGGGATTTTGTGTGTACACATGAATAAAAGTTAAAAAACACATATGAGGACCAATTTGAAATGATTTTGAAATTGTGGTATAAAATTATGAGTGTGCAATTCCTTTTTTGTTTTTTTGGTCAGCATATGAACAAAACAATACATATGAGGATTGATTTGAAATGATTTTAAAGTTGTGAGGTGGAATTACGATTGTGCAATCCAGCCTCAAAGTATTTAGGATTAGGTTAAATTCTAATTGTGTCTCCCAACTTTGTTAATTGCATATTTTTTAGCCTTAAACTAATTTTTGTACCTTTTTTCCCCTTAGGTATTAAAAATGCACAAAAGGAGTCCTTCCGTTAATAATGTGCCATGGGGCACATTAACCTTGGAGAAAATCACTTTTTTTTTTTCTCGAAGGTGGCTTTCACATATAGGATTGATTGGACACAGAATTTAATTACGAAAATGAGATGGCCAAGGGGCTTATATACTTTTAATTAAATTATATAATTAATTGAAAAAGCAAAGAAATGTCACATAAAAACTCATAAAGCAGCTTAAAATCTTCCAAACCAACTAGAAATTCAAACAAATATTAGGAGTAGAAAAGTAGTTCATGGTTCATCCCTTGAATCCCAAGAACCTAACTTGTATACATTCTTTGAACGCAAATCTGTCCTTAAACCTAGATTTTGGTTTGTGGGAACCAGGAGGATGAGAGTAGAAAAGGAGAAGAGAAAAGAGAAGAGAAGGAGAAGGATGGGACGAAGTGAGTAAGAATAGAGAATAGAATTTTATTTTGGTTCATTTTCACTTAATTTTATTAATTATAAAGGAAGAATTCATTAAAAAAAAGATTGTTTTTATGCATTTTTAGTTTTATTTGGTAATTTTAACCTATAATTACAGTTATAAGTTTTTAGACCTTTTAATATCCTAGAAATATATAAAATATATTTAATATTTATTTTTATTGATATTTTATATATATTTAAAATAATAAAAAGATATAAAAATTATAAGCTCAAGGATTA